TTGTTTGTCATTGTAGGGGATCTGCTGACCTTGCTAGAGCCTCTCCTTGGAAGCCAGCTTGAGAAGTCCTAAAGTAGAGAGCAGTGACGGGATGGTGGTAAAATGTGAAGTGCATTATGTACACGTATAAAAAGAATATGTCATGATGAAAAACAAAAACAAAAAAATGCTGAGCAGACTCCATAGCTCACCAAGCCTGATGACCTGAGTTTGAACCCCCGGACCCACATAGTGGAAGACAACCCACTCCTGCAAGTTGGCTTCTGACTTCCACATGTGTGCCTGGTCATGTCCACACCCACACATATTTGCACAAAATAAATAAAAAAAAAACATCTTTTTTTAAAGAAAGAAAGAAAGTCCTGCCCTAATAGAGTCAAATGCCCCAGTGGGAAAGCCCCAAAGTGGAGATGGGCTCCCAGGTGGGGCACTGCAGGGGGTGTCTTTTTATTTGCTTGATGGAGGTAAGGGAATGCCCAAGATGCTACCCCCCCACCAGCCCCAACAAGGTTTGTCTGTGTAGCCCTGGCTGCCCTGGAACTCACTCTATAGGCTAGGCTGGCCTTGAACTCACAGAGATTGATCTGCTTCTCTGCCTCCTGAGTGCTGGGGTTTTTGCCCTGCCCAGCCCAAGACGCTATCATTGCCTTTTCTACCTATCCCTATGTCTAATTACCTTAGCCTCGTCTGCGTCTTTTAAAAAATATATTTATTTTATGTGTAGGAGTGTTTTGCCTGCTTGTCTTGAGTGCCTGGTGCCTGTAGAGACCAGAAGAGGGCATCGGATCCCCTGGAACTAGAGTTTCAGACAATTTCGAGCAGCCATGTGAGTGCTGGGAACAGAACCTGGGTCCTCTGGAAGAGCAGCCAGTGCTCTGAATTTCTGAGCCATCTCCCGTTCATCTGGAGCCGTCTCTTGCGGTTGTTGTCTTGTTTCTGTGTGGAGCTGTGGCTCTCAAGCTGGTCCTTGAACTCATCCTGTCTTTGCTGCCTGGAGTGAGAGGAATGCTGGTGTGTGCTTAATGTGGTGTCAGAAGCAACATTTTACCCCCTTTGCACATTAGAATATTTTAAAATATTAGAAATGCTGATGGATGGATCTTGGCCATCAGGGTTCCTTTGTTTTGATTTTAGTTTAAATAACTTCATTGGACTATAATAAACACAAAAGGGGTAAAAACCACTTCAGACATGTACAGCCCCCAAAAGTTTCTTCATGTAGGTTGGAATCCATGCTATACCACTTCCTGCCCAGGTAACCACTGTTATGATTTTCTGTCACCTTAGTTTTGGAATGTTCTGTGAATCCAAGCATCAAGCATATCCTTTTGGGGCTGAAGATCCTTCTTCTTCTTCTTCTTCTTCTTCTTCTTCTTCTTCTTCTCCTTCTCCTTCTTCTTCTCCTTCTTTTTGGCTTTTTTGTAGCCCTGGCTGTCTTGGAACTCACTCTGTGTGTCTCTGATGGGGGATGTCCTTCTGTATGCTGTGAATGTATGTTTCTCTTATTGGTTGATGAATAAAGCTGTTTCGACCAATAGACAGGCAGGATTTAGCCAGGCCGGAAATACAAACAGGGATAGAGGGATAGAGAAACGTAGTAGGTGGAGTCAGGGAGATGTCACATAGCTGCTGAGGAAGCAAGAGACCTGGGCAGCACCGGTAAGCCAAGAGCATGTAGAGATACACAGAAATGGGTTAGTAATTAAGAGAGAGCTAGCCAATAAGAAGCCTGAGCCATCGGCCAAACAGTTTAGAATTAATATAAGCCTCTGTGTATTTGTTTATTTGGGACTAAACGCTGAAGCACCAGGCAGAACAGAAACTTCCATCTATAGGCCTTCAATTCAAGAGATCTGCCTGCCTCTGCCTCTGCCTCTCAAGTGCTGGGATTAAGAGCATGTACCACCACAGCCTGGCATGGGAAGAAGGAATCTTTTTTTTTTTTTTTTTTTTTTTTTTTGTTTTTTTTTTTTGGTTTTTCGAGACTGGATTTCTCTGTAGGTTTAGAGACTGTTCTGGAACTCTCACTGTAGACCAGGTTGGCTTTGAACTCACAGAGATCTGCCTGCCTCTGCCTCCCAGGAAGAAGGAATCTTAATGCTTCTGTAATTTTGGCCTGTAGGCAAATTTGTCGACTGTTGTCTTGATTAATGATTGAATGGGGAGGAGGGCTCACTAGGTATTTTCTCCTCTCCGGCTAGGGATCCTGGATTGAATAAGAAAGCAGGCTGAGTCACAAATGGTGGTCCACACCTTTAATCCCAGCACTCAAGATGCAGAGGCTGAGGCAGGTGGATCTTTGTGAGTTTGAGGCCAGCCTGGTCTACATAGGGAATTTTAGGCAGCCAGTCAGTCAGTCAACACTACATTGAAAGATACTGTCTCAAAAAATAAAATTAAATGTAAATTAAAAAAATAGATAAGAAAAGTTGAGCAAGTCAGTGTTCCTCCATTGCTTATATGTCAGTTCTTGCCTTGACTTTCCTTACTAATAAACTATGGCCTGCAAGTGCAAGCTGGAGCAAACCGTTTCCTCCTTGAGTTGCTTTTGGTCATGGTGTTTTTATCATAGCAACAGAAACTGTTAGCAGCTTACAACTGTCTGTAACTCCAGTTCCAGGGGACCTGACATGTTCACACCAATACACATAAAAGAAATTTAAGTCAATTAAAAAAAAAGTCATTCAGGTTTTCTAGAATCTGTAGGTGCATGGACTCTAGTTAGGAGAGCTGGCACAGAGGCACTCTGGGCACCCGTGGACTCCTGACATCGGTATCTCCATTTTCCCGAGGAAAGGGGGCAGTGCCTTCACCAGGTTCTGGGGGGGTGGGGGGGGGACAATCAAAGCTACATCTGCATGAATCCCTTCATCCTCTCCAAACTTTATTGTGGTGGGTTTTTTTGTTGCTGAGACAGGGTCACACTATGCAACCCTGGCTGATGGGAACTCTGCTCTCATTGAAATTTAGAATGCATGACCATTGAAGAACTCAACATCCAGTTGCTGTGCCAGGCACTATCTCTGCCCCTTACAAAAACAATGAAATGTAAATATTATTTCACCTTGCAGCTATGGGAACAGAGGCTCAAAATGAAGCCACTTACCCAATGGTAAGTAATAAACGTATTACTTATGTGGCTATTTGCAAACTCTAGTTTTCCATACCGGATCTTTCAGCTGCTAGACCACGACAGCTTCTGTAATACCAATTGCTTAACTTCAGCTCAAAACAGGTTAAGCTTGAAATACCAGGCCGAACAGGAGAAGAGTGAAGTCCTAAGCCCTGGATTTTTTTTTTTTTTTTAAACAATTCACTTCTAACCAATGGAAACTCTTTGACTGGGTGAAAGTACCACCTTTAAAAGACGCGCTGTGCTTCCTAGAGGTGTGGCCTCTGCGGGTTTCTCCGTTGGTGTTACTTACTACCTACCCACAAACCGTCACTGCAGGGCACTTTCGACGACGTCTATGATTGGCCGATCAAGACAGCAACATTTGAATTTGAAGGAAGGCCAGAGAAAGGTTGGGTTCCTTCGGTCTGAGAGATAAGCTCTGCTGAGAGGAAGGCCAACTGGAGGCAGAGATTAGGCGGCCGCACCGCTCCGCACCGCACCGTCGTGGTGAGACCACCGTCTCCTGCGGCTCTACTTTCAGCCCTTCCCCGGGAAGAGTCAGCTCCCTCGCCCAGCCCGAAGGTCACGTGGCCGGCTCTGTAACCTGCAAAGGGTTACAGAAGTGCTGATAGCTACAGTGGACAGTGTGAATTTTAAAAAGGTCGTCTGTAAGCAGAAGCAAAGTCCGTGTGCGGAGCTCTAGCTGCAGTAGGAGGCAGTCGAGGGCTGCCAGGAACTCCGTGTTTCCTGTCCCTCAGCTATCCCAAAGGCCACCAGCGAGGCCGTATTCTCAGGCAACCATACATTTTACAAAGGCAAAGAAAACATAAAGGCTGAGGCCGGGCGGTGGTGGCGCGGGCCTTTAAATCCCAGCATTCGGAGGCAGAGACATCTCTGTGAGTTGGAGGCCAGCCTGGTGTACAGAGCTAGTTCCAGGACAGCCAGGGCTAGACAGAGAAACCCTGTCTTGGAAAATAAATAAATAAAAATTAAAGGCTCACCACGACATTTTTTTTTTTTTTTTTTTTTCTGAGTAGGTTTCACTATGTAGTCCTGGCCTAGAATTCAGTATGTAGACCTGTTTGGCTTGAAACTCTCAGACAACTGCCTGCTTCGGCCTCCCAAGTGCTGAGATCAAAGGATCTGGCCACCACTCTCTGCTAAACCTTTGACTTCTTTAGAAGTCATTGCTTCATGCTAACAATTGAAATCGCATCCACTTAGTACATTTAATAGAAACCATCACATCTAGATTGAATACTCAACCGAATGAAATAAATGAAAAAAAAAAAATCTCTGGGGCTAAAGAGATGGTTCAGTGGTTAAAAGCCCCTGACACTCTCACGGAGGACCTTGGGTTCAATTCCCAGCACCTACATGGAGGTTCACAATGGCTTGTAATTCTAGTTCCAGGGATCCAACGCCCTAGCTGGCCTCCTTTGGTACTGCATGAACAGTGCACAGTCATATGAAAGCAAAACATTCACACCTAGAAAATACCAATCTCAAAAAAGAATCTTAAACAATACATATTTCTCTCTTATACAAAGCAAAAGTAACTAGGTAGCATTATAGTTTCAGAGAACTTGAAATGCTGGAAGTCCGGTAATCCAATCACCTTCCCCAGCAACAGCTTCCATGAGAGAACCATTCACTCCATACATAGGTCTGAAGTGTACATCACTTCACACTGCACAACTCCCAGAGTCACCAAAGTAGCAAGGAGAACTTCCAAAGTATCTTGTTGAAATTCACTTTATTTAAAAAAAAAAAAAGAAACCTCATGAACAATAAATTACAATACTTTCCCCTTTATAAATTCTTCATAAAATATATTTGACAATTTTAAAAGAAAAAATTTAAAGTTGCTTTCATTTCTGATGTGCCTATGACATCTTTTTTTTTTTTGACTATTTTGTCATGCTGGTGAATTATTTTGTAGCTGCTACAATAGTTTGATTGGTAACATTTTACAATTAAAAACAACAAAGAAAAACAAAACAAAAACCCAGACCTGCAGAAAGAACTATTCTGTGCTATTTATCTGACACTTAACACTTACTTCATCAAAATGACAAAGTATCCCTTAGCACCAAGAATCTACAGAACCCCATGTTTCTAAGTGACAACTAGTGCAAAATAACATCCTAGGAACTAACTGTACAACCCTACAGTGACTGGACACAGCTGCCTATAAGCTTTATTTGAAATATTTGGTCTTTTTCAATTAAGACAAATTTCATAAAACACTAGAAACCATGGCAACAGACTATGAGGAATAACTGTTTATTGAGTACCTATTATGGGCAAGGCACTGTGCACAATTTCTTGATTGCATTTTTCTTTTAGCAAATACTCAAAATTTCCAAGTATCAATTATCGTTATTTCTTACAGGTGACCAGAGAAAGTGCATGGCTAAATGCACTTTATAAAAAAAGGTTTATTTTTATGTTTTAAATTATGTGTGTGTGTGCCCACGGAAGCAAGAGGATACTGGGTCCCCTGGAGCTGGAGTTAGGTGGCTGTGAGATACCCAACTTGGGTGCAAGAGCAGCAATTCTTCTAAACTGTCATCCCTCCTGCACTCCCCCCCAACTGCAATCTTAAACTGTTGTCATATCAACTAAACTTTAGTGCTGAGCACACAGTAGGTACTTAATAAATACCTCTGACTGAAAAAGAACAAAAAAGACAAAGAAATTACTATCCTTTTGTTGATATCATAAGCTATTTTAGAATACAAGGACTTGAGAACATTCTGTAAGACATTTCGTGATCACCCCACACCCTTACCTCTAATGAAGGAAAGAATTGTATTTCACAGGTAAAAATCTTTCAAAATAAATGATAACTGGGGTTAGACATGTAGCTCAGTGGTAAGCCTTGTGTAGCACATGCAAGGCTCTGGGTATGATCCCAGTACCAACCAAAACAAAAGACAAACCAAATTACCATTATTTTCAAGGAGACAGGATCAAAAGCTATGTGCTCAGGACACTGGGCTTCAAGTGCACAGGTATTTGTAGAGCAAATGAACTGTTGGCATACATCATGTATTAATCTAATGGAGTGCCAAGTCATTGATACTACATTATAATGGAATCTTTTCTAATTTCCTGGAACTCAGATCTGTGTCAACTTGGTGACCCAGAGGGTCAATTACCATGAAGGTCCAGTACTTTTCTATTTTAGAAATAAATAGTCTGCAAGTGGTATGAAGTGTGTGTGACTTTTTCATTTGATGAGATTTTAATAAAGCCTTTCAGTTCATGTTTTTAAGCTTCCAGATGTAATCAATCTGGAAGTTTTACATGTTCCATTTTTTGGTGTGTTATCTCTTATTACCCTCTGAACACATTTTATCTATTGACTTACTGATTTTAGGGTGCTAGGGACTGGATGCAGGCTTTCTACACGCCAGACAAGTGCTCTCCCCTGAGCCACACATAGCCCTGTGGATGTGGCTCTCCCCTGAGCCACACGTAGCCCTGTGGAGGTGTGGAGGATCAAACGCTGAGGAGACATGACAAGTGCTGACAATGTCAAAATGCCGCTACTCTTTTGACTTTTGCATCTTAGTGCTTTGCAAAGATCCCAGAGGGGTCAGGGTCAGACTGCTTCCCTAACACGCCCAAGGCCCAAGTTTCTCTACCCCAGGCCTGGATGTGGGGTGCAGAGCTTTATTAAGCTCTAGAATCTGAATCATCCTAGAGACTTGTACTCCAGTTAGCAAGGACTCCTGTTCTCAATTTCCTGCATTAGCATGAACAATCTGGAGATGAGCATGCCGTCAGAATTTCACTTCAGGAGGAGTTAGGAGTCTCTTGCTTTCTCATAGACAACACCAGTGACCAAATGAAACATACAACTTTTCTACTCAAAAAGCAGTTGATGGCATAGAATTTCATCCATCTGCCAAACTCTGCATCATCTCCCACTTTGTAAAAAAGCAACCAGTATTTATGACAGTGATTACCAGTCCCATTACTGTCTCACAGGAGACAAGAGAAAACAGCATCAGTGCCAAGGTGATAGGGACTCCAGTGATCCAACAAAAAGCCACAACAAGGCCAGCAACTGGAGGGTAAGCTCATTTGGTTCCTTCAACTTTATGCTGAGACTTAGAAAAAGTCTTAAACTTGAAATGAATACATCAAGTATTACAGTCATGTAAAGCAATATTTTCAGAACAGAAGAATACCATCCTCAGGTCATGGCAGATGCTCAAGTGCACACACGTTCCAGTGCAGTGGTTTAATTAGTTAAACAAATGCTCAGTTACCTAAAGGTAATGACTGAGCCATTGGCATCCTTGCCAACCAACCTTCTACCATGTGACTGAATGACTAATTCAACTCAAAGAGCTACAGGGCCCTGGAGAACTCAGATGTACTCCACCAGTTTGGAACTGCTTAGCTTCAATTATGTTTAACCAGCCATTTTAGACCATCCAAAATGATGCCTTTAAAGAGAGATGTATACTGGGAAAAAAAAACAAAAAACAAAAAATAAAAACAAGAAAAACCAAACACCCTTAGCATATTTCCAGTATCGGGAGGAGCAGGGAAGAAGATGAGGGGTGGTTTTGTGTAGTTTTCATCACCAATTTCACCAGCAAATCTCACAAACCCAAACCTCTATCAAATAATTTAAACAGAAGTGGCATTTTCTTCATGTGGAATACAAAATGCACACATTCACATACTTACATATACATAAATATATACATATATGTTTCCTTTACAAAGCTTCAAAGGTTGCATTACCAGCATGCAAACCTCTTCTTCCATGGAAATGCCTAATACTGACAAGGAATGTCTAAAATACTTAAAGACAGATTTCCAGAAAACTGGACTCGCTTCTCTGCTTGGCCCTTAAGAGAATTTTTTCTGCCAAACTTTTACCAATGATCATTAAAAAAAAATGTTTTACACCCACATTGGTAATACACATTCAAAACATACAATAAAATGGTCTGCATGGAGTAAGAAAAGTAAGAGAAAAAAGATTACCCCACAATAAAACCTAAACCCTTCGAAAGTGAAGTCTAACTTCTGTCTTCCTTTCGGCCACGTAAAGGTGAATCACTGTTGACTCAGAAGCAGCACATCATCTAAGGTGCTTGCAAGCAGAAGGTCACGTTTCCCAGCTGCTGTCTTTAAATGCAATTTGGACTAATCTGAGTTCTAGTTCAAATGCATCCGGACGATCCTGAGGGTTTGCAGCCAGCATTTCCTTAATCAGTTGCTTCATTCGTCCATTCATAGACTTTTTCTTCACAGGGATGAGAAGTTCCATTTTGGGGTTTTCCAGAAGTGCCTCCCCAACAGGCACAATTTCGGTCCCCTGCTTTACGTAACTCCCCAGGAGCTCCTTCTTTGTCTCTGTGTCTATGAAAGTGATCCTCTCCAGCATCGCCCAGATAATAATTCCCAGAGCAAAGATGTCAGCTTTTGCTGTGTAGTGTCCTTCCCAAACTTCGGGAGCCATGTAGAAATCTGTTCCACATGCCGTGGAAAGGAAACACTTGTTTACGCTGACAGGTTCTTCTGGGTTCTGCCCAGATGCTGAACAAACTTTACTTAGACCAAAATCCGCCACTTTCAGGGTGGGTTCCAAGTCACTGGTGTCCAACCTGCTTTGAGAAATCAGGATGTTATCAGGCTTCAGGTCTCGGTGGATGATCTGGTTTTTGTGCAAGAAAGCCAGAGCACTGCTGAGCTGAAGCATGAAGCTGGTGTTAGTCTTTCGATTGGGTTTCCTGGACAACAGATACTCATTCATATCTCCTCCGTCACAAAAATCCATCACAAACCACAAATAATAGGCGCTTCTGGGATCAAAGGCAATTTCTCCTTTTAATGAAGTCTCTACAAGCTGTGAAGAAGGAGTAGGAGAAAAAGTTATTACAAAAATTTGACTATAGAAAGGTTAAAAGGTAAGTTCAAGCCCAGCCTGGTCTACAAGAGCTAGTTCCAGGACAGCCTCCAAAGCCACAGAGAAACCCTGTCTCGAAAAACCAAAATAAATAAATATTAAAAAAAAAAAAAGAAAGGCTAAAGGAAGCTGGAAATATGGGTCAGCAGTTATGAGCTTAATGCCCTCAGAGGACTGGAGTTCAGGTCCTCAGCACCCAAGTCAGTGTCTCACAATTGCCTGCAATGATAGCTCCAGGGGAATCCAATACTTTTTCTGGACTCTAAGGGCACCTGCACTGACACATATATTCCTCCCTCCACACAAACATACTTAAAAATTAATAACTCTTTTTTTTTTTTTGCGAGAGGGTTTCTCTGTATAGCCCTGGTTGCCCTGAAACTTGCTTTGTAGACCAGGTGGACCTCTAATTCTGAGATCTGCCTGCCTCTGCCTCCCCAGTGCTGGGACTAAAGGTGTGTACACACCTGGTTGTACATCTTAATTAACATATATATATATATATATATATATATATACATATTTATTTATTTAGCTGGGTGGTAGTGGTGCACACCTTTAATCCCAGTACTGGGGAGGCAGAGGCAGGTGGATCTCTGTGGGTTCGAGGCCAGCCTGGTTTACAAGGAGAGTTCCTGGACAACTACAGCTGTTACACAGAGATACCCTGTCATGCAAAATCAAAAAGTAAAATTTAAAAAAAAATGGGGGGCACTGGAGAGATGGCTCAGTGGTTAAGAGCACTGGCTACTCTCCCAGAGGACCCAGGTTCAATTTCTAGCATCCACATGTTAGGTCACAACTGTCTTTAACTCCAATTCCAGGGAATCCAACTTCCTCATACAGACATACATGTAGGCAAAACACCAATGCAGATAAATAAAAATTAAATAAAAAAAAATTACCAACCCAAGCTGGGTAGTAGTGGTGCCAACACTTGGGAGGCAGAGTCAGGAGAATCTCTGTGAGTTAGGGCAAGCCTGGTCTACAGAGAGAGTTCCATGACTACACAGAGAAACCCTGTCTTGAAAATAAAAGAAAGTTAGGTCAGTTGGATCTTATACATGGCAGGCACGGGTTTCTTTATTCTTTTCTTTTTGATTTTTCGAGACAGGGTTTCGCTGTGTGTCCTTGGATGTCATGGAACTTATTTTATAGACCAGGCTGGCTTTGAACTCACAGAGATCTGCCTGTTTATATTTCCAAGTGCTGGGGATTAAAGTCACCATTGACCATTAAGGCAAGGGTCTCTTACACAGAAAGTAGGAGGTCACACACACAAAACAAACTGCCAACAGTCAAAAGTTTAACTACAAATTTTCAGTTACCAAAAATTAATTCAAAACCAAATTACAGCATTTTTTAAATATATATATATGTCTGCTATATTGTTTTACTATATATATATTTGTCTGCTCTTATAGAAACATAATGGTTTCATTGGGGTAAACAAAGACTTCTGATATTTTTCTACTGCCATTAATCAGCAACGCAGTCCATCAGGGGGTTATGTTTTGGTGTAATGCTTAATTTGGGTGTGATTTTCTTTCCTCTTCTTTTTCCTCTGTTTTGAGACATGGTCTCAAATAGTTCATGAAAGCCTCAAACTCACTGTATAGTCATGGCTGGCCTTGAACTTCTGACCCTCCTGCTTCCATCTTCAGTGCTGAAATCACAGGTGTGTTATCACTACACCTAGCTCAAGAGACTGCAAGTTTAGCCTGCTGGATTTTGAGTTATATAGTGAGACTGAGAGAAAGAGAGGTTTGGTTTTAGCAGTTGCTGTTGGCGGCACACACCTGGGATCCCAGAACTACAGAAGGGCCACTGAAAGCTGTGAGGACAGAAGTGTGAACAATTTTTGACTTGCCTAAATTTATATCTACTATTTTGTACTGACCTATTTATATGAAACACTGTTCTCACCAATCATGGTCATAAAATAAAAGTATCAATTGTGGAAAACACTGAAGATGTTCTGTTTCACAACAACAAATATTCACCAAATATTTTTTTCTAAATGGATTTAATTTCTTATCTGTGTACTCTCAAGTATTTGAGCACATACGTGTCAGAGGGTAACTCTGGAGGCTGATTCTCTCCTTCCACCTTATGGGACCTGAGGATGGAACTAAGATTGTCAGGCTTACATCCAAGCATCTCTGCCCACTGAGCCATCTTGCCAGCCTAAGATTTAGTAGCTCTTTGTTTCGTTTTTTTGTTTGTTTGTTTGTTTTGTTTTGTTTTTTTTGAGACAGGGTTTCTCTGTACAGCTTTGGAGCTTCTATCAGCACATGCTCTGTAGACCAGGCTGTCTTCGAACTCATGGAGATCCACCTGCCTCTGCCTCCCAAGTGCTGGGATTAAAGGCATGCGCCACCAATGCCAGACCCAAGATTTAACTCTTTATGTAGAAATAAACAAGCACATTCACTTCAGTTGTGTATAAACTTGCTTCCTACTTTAGTAAAAGCTGAAATTATATCTATACCAAAGAATTGCTTTAAAATGAAATTATTTATGATTCATTACCAGTACATGTTTATTTGTAGATCTGTTTTACACACCTATATGCCCAGGGTCATGCACATGTTTCTCTGGAGAGATTACAAGTGGAAGGGTTAGGAAGCTCTGCTCTGCGCTGAGGGAAGTCCAGCCCCAGCCTCCAGCTCTAACTGGAAACATCAGAAATATTTTATTTCATCAGTGCTTTTATACATGCCTTTAAAAGATGTTTTTTAGCACTTCAGAAGGCCACCTTTGCCCTTACTAAATACATGGTAAATTTCTGAGTCAAGAAGTAACATTTTTAAGTAGCTCTATTCTGGAAAGTGCCCAACAGGCCTACATTTTCTATATAGGTAATATAGCTGAATTCTACCACTTTCTAGCTCATCATTTCATGAAAAGACTAAAATTGCTTTTAAATTATTTGTTATATGGTATCTTTTTAGATTGGTAGTGTGAAAAGGGAAGATTCAGAGCTGAGCCACTGAAGAAGGAGTAACTGACAAGTTTATATTTAAATTAATTGCTATTGCTGGGCATTGGTGGCGCACGCCTTTAATCCCAGCGCCCAGGAGGCAGAGGCAGGTGGATCTCTGTGAATTCCAAGACAGCCTGGTCTACAAAGTGAGTTCCAGGACAGGCTCCAAAGCTACACAGAGAAACCCTGTCTCCAAAAATCAAAAAATAAAATAAAAAGATAAAAAAATTAATTGCTATTATTAAGGCCTCTGGTTATTTTGGCAAAAGCAAAAAACACCCCTTCATTCTGTCTCCCATGCAGAGGGCAGCAATAGCAATGGCTTGCAGGGGTCTCCTTTTGGCATGGTATACCAATGCAGAGAATGAAACACAGGTGTACTGTTTCTGACTGACTTCAGTTTTCTGTCTTTCCCTAAAATACAAACTTAATAGCTTTGCATATTGCAGAATCCCGGTACTCATAGAGTGGTTTAGAAGGCAGGCACAGTGGTGCAATTGCCAGAAAAAAAGGAAATGTATAGCTCTCACCCACTTATCTAGATAACTCAAGTTAGACTCAAGTTTTAAATAGTTTATACTTTTTTAAAAAGTTTTTTCTAGACAGAGTTTCTCTGTGTAGCATTGGCTGTCCTGAAACTGGCTCTGTAGACCAAGCTTGGCTCAAACTCACAAAGATTCACCTGCTGCTGTCTCCTGAGTGCTGGGATTAGCAGCGTGCAGCACCAGGGCCCAACTTAATTCTTTTTTAACTCCCCAGATAGGGTCTCACTCTGTACCTCAGGCTGATCTTGAACTTGTGATAACTCTTCCTCAGTCTCCCGTGTGTTAAGATTATGTGCAGCACACTCTGTCAGTTCATAATTCTTCAGCTCCAAGATACGTCTGCTACCCTATTATATGTTCCTACACCAACTACGCCACTAGTTTGAAATATACAGACTGGAGGCTGCAAAGTCTTTGTGCATGAAATTGAGCCCCTGTAACTTTGTCTTACATTTTCTCTTGGATAAGGATTTTTAGCTAGCAAGAATTGATTTAATGATCCCAACTGACAACAAGGAAGAATATATCTAGAAAAACATAAAAAAATGAAAATTTATACAGATAATAAAGACCATGCATAGGAACTTTGTGGTTACATTATAGATTTATGTGTTGACTATATTGTGTTGTTTTGATACAATTCTATTGATAAATATATGGTCAACTATGCTGAGTGAGGTAGTACATGTCTTTAATCTCAGCACTCAGAGGCAGAAACAGGCAGATCTTTCTAAGTGTGAGGCCAGCCTGGTTTACATATTGAGTTCCAGGCTAGCCATGGACACACAGTGACACTCTCTCAACAAACAACCAAATAAATATCTGGCTAACTTATAAATCCATAGAAAAGACTATTTTATTTCAACACAGGTACCTATTTCTGAGTTCTTATGGCCAAACCTTGCTTCAGCATTACCTCCATCTCTGACAATGACCATGGAAGGCAGAAGTGATCACTATAACCTGTGAACAGCGCTGGGAGTTGGTGGTGCATGCTTTTAAACCCAGCACTCAGGAGGCAGAGGCAATCGGATCTCTGAGTTTGAGACCAGCCTAGTTTACAAGAGCTAGCTAGTTCTAGGACAGCCTCCAAAGCCGCAAAGCCGCAGAGAAACCCTGCTTTGAACCTCCCCCCCCCCAAAAAAAAAAAAAAAGAAAATCACTTAGTCAAATCTGGTACTTCATATGTTAGGACCTCCAAGTAATAAGCAATACCTAATTGTTACAGTTGCTAGATGTGGACTCAACACTAAACAATATCTAATTCTTGTTACAGTTGCTAAATCGGGACTCCAGTTAAGTCAAATGTGCTAACATCTTCACTTTTCCATCCACAGGGATTGTGTAACTTAATCTCTACAACTCAATGCAAAGCAGACAAGGTTTAGGAGGAATGTAGTTATGCCCCCAACCCTAGCCTCAATCTCTAGCACTGGCAACAACAACAACAACAACAACAAAGACAGCAAAGTTTCCAACCTTTTTTGAGACAGGGTTCAGGGTTTCTCTGTGTAGTGTAACAGTCCTGGCACTCACTCCACAGACCTGCCTGCCTCTGCCTCTGCCTCTGCCTCCGGCCGAGCTGGGTGCTCCACCACTGCCTTGCTCTGATGATTTTTTTTTATCATTGTAATTTACATACTTTTAGAAAGATAAACAATAATGTAGTTTAAATTTTTTTTAATTATTCATTTCATGTATGTGTGGTGCTACAGCAAACCCATGGAGGTAAGAGAGCACCTTTCAGGAGTCCACATCCTCTTTCTACCACATGGGACCTGGGAAATGAACTCAGGCGTGGCAACAAGCTCCTTTACTCTCTGAGCCTTTTCAAAAACCCAAAACATAGTTTTGTTGTTGTTACTATCTTCAATTGCTAAATTACATTTATTTATGTTATGTGTGTCTGTTTATGAGTGTATGCATCTATGTAGCGCTTACACGCATGCACGGCACTGGGTGAGTGTGGCGATCAGAGGACAACTTTTACCCTGAACTCATGATTCAGTCCAGGCATGTCCTGAACTCCATATACGGGTGAGTCTGCTCTTAAACTCTTGAGCCTCCAGCCTCCACCTTAACTGACATGTACCAATATACTCATCTAAGGTTTATTATGTTTAGACTTCTAAAAAGGAGAAGTCCAATTACCTATGGGTGTGGCTGTTACTGACTGTGGTGTTCTGCGTTTATTTTCAAAAGAATTGGTGTCCAGGAACTGAACTTTGATGCTAGTCTCAAATTGTCCTATTCCTCCAGTTCCCATATTGTCCTATTCCTACGCAGACTGGCAGGTACTAGGCATAACAGGTGGCTTATGTTATTTTTAGGCATGTGCAGCTCAGGCTTAAAGTAAGTATCTCCTCTATCCTCTGAAGACCTCTACCTGCACTTAGTCATAGAACACCTGCCTTTTAAGGGAGAAGTTCATCTGACACTTTTTTCCTCTTGCTGACCAATATTGCGTCCATTTCCTATCCAGTGACACATACCTGTAAATAAAGGGAAGAATTAGAGCCGTGGGACATCTTTTGCACCATCCCATCTTTTTGCAGGATGCACTCTTCCAAGTGAATCACATTTGGATGCTGGCTCTTGATACTGCTTAGTGCCCAGAACTCTCGAAGGGCTAGTTCAACATTTTCAGGTGCGTGGCATCGGATTTTCTTCACTGCTACTCTCGCAGAGGTCTTTCTGATGATTGCTTCATACACAACACCGTAACTACCTCGGCCTACCTCCCGTATTAGATCGTACTTTGGCTGGCTACTCACCATCTTCAAGGTCGAGGTTTCTGGAAAAATCAACAAAGTACTCTGTTGAAGTTAGGTGTACCTATTGGTTTGTATTCTTATGCATGATTTAACTAACTGTTTCACTGTGGTACTTGAAAGATATCTATCTATACTTTGGAGGAATCTACCAATAATAAAAAAAAGGTAACAGATAGCACTTACCCTATATTAGGAACTATTTCAAATACCTTACAATGGTTTCTAAAGTTTTTGTTGTCTTTGAGACAGAGTCTTGCCAAGTTCCCCTGGCCTGGAGCTTGATGTGTAGGTCAGGCTGGCTTCAGAAGCCATGGCTACAGCACTATCATTTCTGACTTTTTTTAAAGTTTATCTTGGTGTGTGAGTGCAGGCATGCCCATGCCATGGCACACCTTGGCTCTCCTGTCACTGCTAACGAGTAGAGCACGGCAGGATAGCTGCCTGTGAATTTCTGGAGACTGTTGTTTCTGCCTCCCATCTCACGAAGGATATCTGGCTGTATGTGGGTTCTGTGGATCCAAACTCAGTTCCTTATATTTACTGGACAAACGCTTTATCCACTCAACTCTCTCTCCAGGCTCCACCCACCCACCCCTGTTTTGGACAAGGTCTTCAGCTCACAGAGATAAGCCTGCCTCTGCTTCCCCAGTGCTGGGATTAAAGACGTGTGCACCATGCCTTCCTTCCAGCCCCCTTTAAAGAGATAGGATCTTGCTATTATATAGCTCAAGATGGCTTTCACTTTTTAAAAGCTGTATTGCATATTTCGTGTGTACGCTTGTGTCTTTGTGGAAATCAGAGGACAATATGTGGGAGTCAGTTCTCTCCTTCTACCATGTGGGTCCCAGGAATTGAATTTATGTTGTAAGGCTTGGCAGAAAGCAACTTTACCCACTGAACCAATCTCAACAGCCCTGGTTACCTCTGTCTCTGGAATGATGGGTGGTGACACTACCTGGCTACTTTATACTACATTCATTTAATCCCTAACCATAATCTGTGTAGCAAGGGGTAGGTGTTATAATGGTCATTTTAGAAGTGAGGAAATTAAAGCACAGAGAGGGTTAAGTACAAAGCCAGTGGCCAGGCAGCTCTTTGGTTCAGATATCCATGACTTAAACCCTAAACTACATTACTTCTTATAGGAACTGCTGGAGCATGTCATTGATAAAAATAACCCAAAGCTGGACAGCAGTGGCTCCAGCCTTTAATCCAAGCACTCAGGCTTTAATCCCAGCACTCAGGAGACAGAAGCAGGCTGCCCTTGAGTTCAAGGCCAGTCTGGTCTACAGAGTGAGTTCTAGGACAGGCAGAGCTACCCAGAGAAACCCTGTCTCGAAAAACAATAAACAAATAAACTCAAAATTCAACATTTTAATTTACTGATCATGAAAAAAATGAAGCAATGTATCTGTATCTCCTTAAGGTTGATGCATATATGAAAGGTAATAAAAACAGTGAAATGCAAAAATCCCCTGACTTATGCTTATGGACTGAAAGTGAACAAGACCATTTTGTTTTGTTTGAGACAGTGTCTCCAGTAACTCAGGCTAGCCTTGAACTTACTATGTAGCAGAGAATGATCCCAAACTACTGATCCTCCTGCCTCCACCTTCCTAGTCCTGGGGTTATAAGCATGCGCCAGTATGCTTGGTTATTTATTTCTTACAAAATAAACACAAAGTTTTTGTAGGAGAACTTCTTTAAAACGAAGCAAGTTGCTCAGACTAGAACTACTTTTTTTTTATTATCGTTTAACATAGCTATTTAATTCTAGGTCATTTTTGCCAAAGTGGGGGAGCATCTTATACATCAAAGGGAATTCTCTGAGAAAAGTTCTCTGAAGTTCCAAATTAATAAATCATTTAAAGGCAAGCTACAGCACAGGCCCTGCAGAGCGTTCTTCTGACTGGAGAGCCTGCAGTGTGCTTCCTCACTCCTCAAATGCTCACTCGCCGCTGCCTGTCATCGCCGGCAGAAAAAGTAACCTGAGATTGTATTTACATTGCCCAATCAGAGAAACAAAAAGTGACTGACCCTGGAAGCTGAAAACTCCGGGAACAACTACTTTTAAGTCCATAAGCAAGACTGAAAAGAAAATGACTGCTTCTGAGGATTGCCGAGAGCGCTACTTCCTTTAATTGGTCGCCTATCCTTCAAGTTCCTACTGCTTTATTTCCTAATGTCAGATTTCCTGCCACAGCCCTGCTCTGCTCTGCTCTGCTCTGCGCCGATCGCCAGCTACTGTGCGCTTCCAAGTGGCTCTTTTCTGTGCAGCAGTCCCTTCTCTCCCACTTGCCACGGTCCCCCGAGACAGGGGGGGGGACACCTTCCTGAACAAGGAGGGAAGGTGTCTATCAAATCCCCGGGATCCTGGAGGGAGAGGCGCCCCGGGGAAGCATCCTTCGAGAACCTGTGTGCCTTTCGATGGCGTGTCCCGGACCCTCCTGCCTGCTGCGGTCCCCGGGCGCTGGGCACGGCCGGCCTGGACATGCACCTGCTGGTGCCGCGAAGGGGACAAGTGAGGGTGCTCAGGCCGCGCTCGCTGCCCCAGCAGCAAGATCGCTCCCGGCGACAGTGCCCTGAAACCCCGAGGGACCCT